TGGCATTGACATCGACATCGCATTGCTGGAGCACTCTGAGTGCCAGCTGTGGGTCGTTGACAATGTGAAGCAGAGTGTTCCCCTTGGCGTCCACATGATCATCAATGTGCAGCGGAAGCCCGTCACGCTGCGCTTCCGTGGCCGCATCCAGGCCGGCATCCACCATTTCGCGGTAGTGGATGTGGTCATACGACCTGCAAAGTGCAAAAAGCGGCGTCTGCCCATTCTTGTCTTTTTGCCGCCAGGGGACTAATCTCCCGATCCGAGAAATTAGAAACGGTGCGTGGAACAGGTAATGCGCACAACTGCGCCCCCAAATGTCTTGCTGAGCAAAATACTCAATCAAGCGCTCTCTTGCCGCCAGCCTCGAAATGAAGTCGAGAACAATATTAATCAGCTCCGTATGCCCCAGCTGCACCGCAGCGCTAAAAAGGGTCGTATCTTCGTTGTTGATGTCGTCCAGAATGACAGAAAGAGGATAGTACTCGCTCAACGTCAGCAAGTACCGCAGAACATCAGGCCTTTCGTTCTGCACAGCCATCATCAAGATTGATTCCCCGAACGCGTTGTGCGTTTGCGAAAGACGATCGATTGTGATGTCGCCCTCAAGAACGCTTCCAATGGTACCATTGCTGGTCGCTCTCGAGTGGTACGAAATCTCCGAGCCGCTGGACATGCTTCGTGTATCCATGGCGACCCTCTTGACCTTGCGAGGGGGCGGTGGCAAAGGGAAGTCAATCTCACTGCCGTCATCCTCGGCCTGAAATGGGAAAACGTGGCTCAGGCCAGAGCCTGACGAGAAGCGATCTGAGATTGTGAGTGCTGTTGACGATCTCCTCGAGGTAGACCCGTTGGTGAAGCTCCAGCTGTGAGAAGGGCGTCGACTTGATTCTGGGGAATCATAAAGGTCATCGTCGAGAATCGCGTTCTCGTCCGGTTCCATGATTTTCTTCAAGTCGTCGAGGCTTCCGTTGCAAGTAGCATTCCATAGTGCTTTGTTTCGTCGGCTGGCTCTTCGCAGTCCTGACGAGTCCAGTGCGAGGTATGCGAGGACGGCTTCGAAAGTGCTCAGTGCATATCCCATCTCGCCGTTGTCGACGTCGTCGATGAAGATAAAATGACGAATGTAGATGAGCCGAGCGTGCAAATGCCGAACTTGCGCTCGGATGACTACGAAGAGCAACAACGAGACCAGCGTGTCAGCATTGACTGTCAGAGTAGGCTTCTCGGTCGAAGAGGCTGCCTGCGCTCGTGAAGACTCCGTCAAATGTGTGACCAGCTTCATGGTCGACAGGAGCAGATCGAGCATCTCTTGTGGGCTCATGGCATTCGCTGTTTTCTTGAACTCCTCCACGGCCAGACCAAGCTGTATCGTCAACTCGTGCTTCCCTCGCGAGCCACCTTCTATGGAAATGCCAAGCTGGGAAAGGTCAATGAACTCCATCTGCCGAATCTTGGCCTCCAACTCGAGATCATAAGGTCGTTTTGATGCACTAAGTCGTGGGAATAGGAGGTGGTGTGTGTTCTCGGTGACGTATCTTTCGATGAGTCTTTCGACCAGAGGTCCCGTCAGGTCGGTCGTAGCGCCGAGCATCGAGAGTTGCTGCTTGTCAACCCCCTGGAACAAGTCGATGGCGGCTGTTACCGCAGTCTCCAACGAAGCCCTCATCACGTCTTCGTCGTCCTCGGCGTAAAAATTCTCCGTCACGGGTAGACCGTTAGTCAACCCGTTGGGGCGCCTTGCTGCGGACATGCTGTTAGACCGCGCCTTCCTCATTGCCGTAGTGATAGGTCCGTCGGGCTCGGGGTCGGGTATGCGTAACGCCGAAGGGGGCGGCGGGAGCGGTCGCTCGAACACGGTCGTAAACTCTCGAAACAGCTTTTCCAATCCGGGTTGCATCTGTCGCGCGATGATGGGGAAATGGTTGAGGAGATCGTGAAAGCTCTTGATATCCTTCTTTCGTGGAAGCATGGCGCCTTCGCCATTCTCGGCAGCCGCCGCCTGGCTCTGTTCGAGGGCTTTCCTCCTTGCCATGCCCTCTACCAATATGGCGGGCTCGATCTTCGTCTCTTCCCATACCCCCACTAGTGGTCGCGAGATGTAGTAGATCAGCCATTGGCGGGGCTCGAGGAGGTCGGGATACCATGTCGAATCGTTCAGTAATTGAGCTTGCGCAAGCGACTTGAAGCCTGGGATACCACTGTCAGTCATAGGCGATTTCGTATTGCATATTCAGGCGCACCTTTATTACTGTAGACGTGTGTGTCTTTGATGACTACTGTGCGGCCATTGATGGTCTGATACTGCTTTGCCTTGCCCCTCAGCTCGCGCAGGTTTTGCGCCGCGTCCTTCCCGCCCGCAGCAGAGGCCGTATTGGCAGCGGGAATGCGAAGCACATGGCTAGCTAGGAACTCCTCCGAGGTGATGAGCTCGTGGAAGGTCGAGCCGCTTTCGACTTCGCGACATGTGAGGAGGACGTCGGTGGTCGGGACCAGAAGGATGTGGTGATGTACCGGGGTACACTGCGAAGGTAGGGAGCTTCGGAAGAAGGCAGCGAGAAATGGATTTAGGGGTTGCATTCATTCGACTGGCGCTGGACGTCCTCGGCCAGCTGACCCGGCCGGGGAAGCCAGGATTGCAAGGTAAAGGTGAGTAGGTGGTTGAGGATCGTGGAGTTCGGGAGCACGGAGGTGCCGGGGGATCGACGGGGCAAGGGACGGAACGAAGGCTGGAAATAGGATCGCTGGGTATCGTTCAATGTCGCTGATATGCAGGATGGTCGTCGGCGGTTACGCAAAACACGCGAGTTGCGTTGGCGGTCGGTGAGGAAGATGGAAAATGATTCGTGATGAAAGGCAAGTTGTTCGTGGTGGTTGCGATTCCCCTGGACAGATAGCAGTGGAAGGTGTTGAAGCTCTGGTGTGGGCCGGGCAAGCCAGGCACTGACCTCACTGAGGCCGCACGTCCCACTTCCAATGGGCTGCCACTGCCAGGGGGCACCGTGGCCCGATTCGGCGCTGAAGAGGTTCGCTGCCAGCATGCCGTCCCCACACTGCCGAGGCGGGACGCTCTGATTTGCTGGGGAACAGACGGAAGCCTAACGGAATGCGGAGAAAAGGGATCTCCGAAGGTACCACCGAGGCGGGCGCTCTCCCGGCTTCGATACCTAGGTAGCTTAACCTTATCTTATCAGTCCCCACACGAAGCGAGCATCTTCCATCCTCTGCGGGACTGGAACTTGGCAGTTCCCGTTGACATCTTGTGGATGTGAAAAGATATGCCTTTGTTAAAAGGCAGACATTTCACCCAAGAAGAAGAGCCAACAAGGGGCATTTACCACGCGGTTCTGAGCTGCAAGAGCTTACTCCACACTTGCCGGCATGGCTGCCTGTCGCGCCTGCGGTATCCGTCATCGTATACATGCATAAGGTACGATGCAGGAGGCCGTCAATCTGGAGCGTCGTAGAACAGAGAGGGGTTTGAGCTTACATCAAAGTCATAAATAATACTTGTCACCACCGATCGGGTGCCCATCACTCTACAGTTTGTTCGAAATTCGTCACATAATTCCAGCGATTGCTCTTACAAATTCATCTTCATTTGTGCTCTATTACCCCAAATCCGCTTCTCAACTGGTCCTCATACGGGATCTCTCACTTACTTTCTAAACGACGACGGGTAGAGCCTCATCTAATGACGACCGCATGTATTACGCCTCAACACAAGACAAGAGCCAGAACACCTTCAGCATGACCGACAAGAATGACTCTCTTACCTCCAAGTCCGCTGGCAACGGCTATGTGCGTTTCACACCAGGTCCATCGCATAGTGATGCAACGTCAGCCCTGAAGAAGATCCCGCGATATCTTTTCAGAGTCCATGCACCAAGTACCGCAGGTGAAACATCACTAGAGTCTGTCGTGTCAAGAGCTGCTCTCTGTGGTCATGCTGGAGCTGGCTGCGACATATTCTCGATGCCCCCGGGCGAAGCAGCCGAGATGCTCAACTGCCACCTTCGCGGGTGGGCCAGAGACGGTGACAACCTCATGTCTTGGACGAGCTCATTACTTTTCGCTCTACAATACGCCCTGTACCGCAGAATCTTGCCCAAAGGCGGGCGGCTTGAGGATCCGTCCGATATTTGGATCTATATTCTGGACACAAGACTTCTGCCTGAAGGTTCATTCATCCCAGACGTCGCGCTTCTTGACACATTCACTGGGAAAGACGCAGCACGCACGTATAATCTATCTAAACTGCGATATTTGCGTCGAGAAACCTCTTACAACTTTGGTGAATATTTATGTCAAGGGAAGCTACCGATTGAAGGTGTATGCTCTTCAGCTTCTCTTCAAAGTATCATCGATCACGGCCTTTTCAGGCTCTGCCCAGAATTAGGGTTACCGAATGAGCATCTAGAACTGGCAAAAAGGGTCCGCAGGCTTCGCGCCCAATGCTTCGCTTCTCCCACTCCGGCGACTAAGGCCGACTTCCGTTTTGCTAGCACCATTGCGCAGGGATGTTTCGGAGAGGAAGACGAATGGGCACTTCCAATGACTGCCGCATTCCTCTCTCTACGGAAGCGACCGATAAATGATGTTGTCATCATTAGCGGCTTCAAGGCCTTATTCTCGGGTATGCAGAGCCGGAACGTTGTCGCCCTGATGTAATACAGCCACTGACAAGCCATTGGAATAGATCAAGAGATTTACGAACATAACCTCGATACCCTCAAGACCTTCCCCCTTGATACGCACCCGGAAATCCACCAGTTCTCCAAGATCGTTCAAGATCTCCACAGTGACTACTGCACCAGAGCTCTTGATTCTGTGCTCGCCACCGCCGCCAAGTTATCGCGTGAGTACAGAAGTGTTTTTTCCCAGTCATTCATTCTAGTTAACACAGCACAGTGGTATCTCTATAAATGCGAGGGTATCTTCATGGTGTCAAGTCCAGCGCACATCAAATCAATTCCTCTCGTCTAACAGCCACCAGAAAGCTACATCTCCTCTGAACTTCTCAGACCCTCCGCCGTCGTCGTCCACGTCATCTTCTCGTCAACCTTGCCCGACTTGCGCTCAAGATACGCCGCCTCAATGGCCTCTAGACTCTGGCTCTTCGTCTCCGTCATCCAAATTGCACAGACAACGACACTTACGAGCGTACATCCGCCGTAAAAGAAGTACGGCCCGGAAGACGACGCAGCGAGAAACGGCGGCGCGGTCAACGCAACAACAAAGTTGGCCAGCCAGTTAGCAGCCTGCCCTAGTGCTGCACCGCTAGACCTCGTCTCGCGCGGAAGGCTCTCAACCAGAAAGGCCCTAATACAGATCGCCCAGGTCCCATTAAAGACGATGGCGAAGAGGTAGATGGATACAATGACCACCCACCGTCCGGCACCCCCGTCGACGCGCACTTGGTTGGCAGCGTACAATGATCCCATCAGGAACATGAGGACGGCGATGCCCGCCCCACCAACGATGGTGCAGGTCCGACGACCCCAGCTGTCTGTGAAGATGGTGGCCGGGATGGTAACTGCCATGATCACCAAAGCTAGAATTCCCGAACAGAGGAATGTAATTTCCTCTGAGAGACCTGATTGCCGGAAGAGCAGAGGGGCGTAGTATAGAATTCCGTCGATGAAGCTGGTCTGCTGGGCGACCATCAAGAAGCATCCGAAGGCGGTGCGAGAGCGGAAGGGCTTGGATAAAGCCTTCCGGAAGTCTTGCAATGTCGCTCGGATAGTGCCCGCCATGCTCATGTTTGGAGGGTGTACTGCGGCTGCTGCTGCCTCCTTTCCGCCCTTGGATGCCAGCATCTCCCGCTGCTCTTCCTCACTGATGCCAAGTTGGGTGAAGACTAGTCGAGCCTTGTCAACTTGGCCCTTGGCCATCAACCACCGAGGCGACTGCGGCACAAAAAGTGTCGTCGCGGCAAGTCCAAATCCCAGAATCGCCTCTACAGCAAGCGGCACCCGCCAAGACGCCGACGAATCCGCTACACGACGTGTTCCGTAGCAGATGAAGTACCCCAGGGACAGTCCCACTGTAAGCATGAACTGCGAGAACGCAACCCAGAAGCCTCGCGTCTTGGCGGGCGTGATTTCGCAGATTTGCACGGCGACGGTGCTGACGAAGAGTCCCGTCCCGAGACCCTTTACGGCACGGCCGGCGATGAACATTGCGAGGTGAACGGCGCCGCATTCAATGGCGGCCCCGAGACCAAAAACGGCGGCGCCGGTGGATATCATGGCGACTCGGCCGAGCTGGTCTGCCAGCATGCCTGCCAGGAGGGCGCTGATTGTGCCGGTCATGAGAATGGTTGAGACGATTGCGCCGTGGAGGATGGCGGAGAAGTTGCCGAATGAGGTCTTGAAGGTCTCCATCGCTGTAATGGGGCCTATGCTGCCAGTGTCGAGCCTGGCAGGTGGAAGTTAGCTGAATATTTTGGTTGAAAAGCAGGAGATCTGCTCAGAAGACTCACCCCCACAGCATCAGACACGCTCCCGTAGCTATAGACGCCCTGGCATAGAGCGGCGGCATCTTTAACATCCTCATTGTGATTGAGACTCACGATCTAGAAAAGATTATGGACGAGATGAATTCCCTGTAGCAAAGACCAGAGAGCGAGTAGCTGTCCATTCCAACAACACTCGAAAGGTTCTTATACTGGCTTGGTGGCTGCATCTGTCGTGCTCATTTTGATATCGTGCTATTCTCCTTTCGGATGTGAAGCCCACCGGGTTTGCCATCTGGATGAAAAATCTCACAGATAGCCCGCAGGTGGACATGGCTATTGGGCCTTCACAAGGTCATGCTCGCCAAGAGTCTGCTGTCTCACGCGTGGGTTATGCAGTGCATTTCTCTGACAACAATATAGCTCGGATTAGTTGCCATAACTCAAAATCCGCCCATCGAGGGTTCTAGATTTGTAAGTTGCTGGCATCGTCGAGTTTAGTTGCCTCTCGTCTGAGACCAATTAGCAAGCAAGCTCAGTGAGGGGACTCTCGGCAAAGTTGCCAGCTAAGGTGGGAACAGTCGGTCCGTTCTGCGCCATCGGCAATAAGCGTCAGACACTTGCAGCCGGCGGTCTGAGTAAGGTAACTTTGCCGAATGCCTGACTCTGGCTTGTAGACGGATACACGCCCCCTTCCCAACTAATTCTGCAATACGGTTGAGGTTTTCAGCGCTTCGTCCCTTTGGTTGCGCTGACTTGGTTGACGAGGGACCTACCCAGCTCGAGATAACACTCATCGCTAGAGCCGACGGAAAATGATAGCATAGAACATTCGGTTTAACAGTCCGCCTGTCCACGACAACGCACCCTCGACGTCAAGGATACCAGCCAAATCAAGAAAGGGTAGCCCCGCCTTTTTGTTCCACCGGAATCGTCCACCGGATTTCCTCTCTTGTCATCCACCACACTGGACCTTCGGATCTTTTCCCTTATGCCATGTTGTCTCTTTCGCCCTTGACTGTCACATTTGCCATTCACCTTACGACTAACAAGGGATAATTCCTTAAACCAACCGCGTCGAGCAGAGCCCCCCTCTCCCTAGGTCGAGGCGGCGGTCGAGGTCTTCTCGGACACTCTTTGGACCACGGCGTCGGCATCATGCGCTCGCATCATGGGTGGTGGGTTACTACTTTCAATCAGAAACGCACTTTATCTTTACAACTTCAATAAACAGCTTGACCTGTCGACAGCGAAAACTGAAATGCAACGAGGCGCGACCCGCCTGCGGGCAATGTACCAAGTCTGATCGCGAATGCATCTTCTCGCAAGACACAAAGTTTCGTCATTTTGATCAAAGCCTCCTTTGTCGAGCACAAGACAAGGCTTCTTCTATAGGTCGTGCTACTGTCGAGAATCTGTTTGAAGAAGATCAGATCTGGCTCGATGTCCCGCACGAACGTGGGTCGATTTGTGTCTGAAATTTAACATTTATGTGGTTACTGACCAACTGGAACCTTTCAGTTGTCTTCGTGAATATCACGAACCCGTTCGAGGCAGAAGACGACATCTCGGATGATGATTTTCTTCTACAGCATGGTAGTCACAGTACCGAAGAAGAACCACCTGGGGGATGGGATGACACGCTGTCGACACCCGAACCTCGAGATGCGGAGAGTGGGGGAGCTCCGGCTTATACGCCGGGGATGGAAGGAGTCTCTGACTTCGCCCAACATTCTTTAGACAATCTCCGAGGGGATAGCGATCCCGAGTATAGCAGATCTGTTACTGCATCCGTTCGAGACGATATTGTATCAAAGCCAATGGCCCTCACACCGCCCGCGATACAAGTAGATGATGAAGATCTGGACGACAACGGCGACGATGATGATCCAGAGGCGAGCATAATAGCTCTAAAGCTTCTGAGACACTTTAGACAAGGGCCTGGGCAATGGTGAGGCCTGTTCTCTTCCACCCCCCCCCCCCCTAGAGGCTGTACAGCCATTAACATATGGGCGGTAGGATGGACTTGTTCGATACATCTGCACATTTCTCATGCAAAATACCAATACGAGCAACCACTAGACCGCTTCTCAAATCAGCAATCTGCGCTCTTGCAGCAAAGCACTTATCGCGTGCTCAGTCGAACGACAGCGAGACCCGACAGATCCGCAGCGTGAGAACTTCGAGCGCTTCCCCGGCTACAACAACCCCCGACTGGCAATATCACGCTGTCCGACACTACCATCAAGCAATAAGACGTCTAAAACATGCCATTACTCTCGCCGGAGTAAGGGACGATGCACAAGATAGCGAGACCAGCGATCAACACGCGGATACCTTTGCTGCGGTTGCCATACTCTGCATGTACGAGCTGATGAACGCCCCAGGGAATGCATGGAAGGCGCACCTCACAGCTCTTTCTCTGTACTCTGCCTCAGACAGCGCACTTGGAGGATCTTCTCCGGTCTCGATACCGCAGTCTCCGACCAAAGGGCCAATATTCTGGAGCTTGGCAAGACAAGATTTTCTCTGTGCTTGTAAGCTTTTCAAGAGACACTCTGCCACGGCCAAAAGCTAACAACTCCCCCTCTAAAAGTCATAAGCGAGACCCAGACACGTCTGAACTTAGACCACATCCGTCTTTGGCAGAACTTTGGCCTCGCTACGGACGAACGCAACCTTCTACTCCCCTTCAGCCCCTTTTCGACAGCTGATGTCCGCTCCTTGACCAACGTGGATGAAGACTCTAAGAGCAACGAGCTTTTGTGGCTCCTGGGGAAGATTATGAATTACATCACCAACGGAGACGGTATACGCCCGGAAGACTATTCTAAACCCGCAGGCCAGCGCATGTCGCTTGGTTTGACGCAGGAACTCCTCCTGGGAAGATGGATGAAGCTCGAAGTCGAATTACAGGACTGGTACGAGAGTCTACCGCCGACCTTTGTACCCAGCGCCCGGACGAGATTCTCTACTTGCCACGGGGACTTGGGTGATGATGACACGGATATGGACATGGAGAGGGTATGGTACGACATACCCATGTGCGCGTCGACGATGCAAAGCTACCATATGGCTCAGATTCTTTTGCTGGTGAACCGGCCCCAAGAATCCACGGCCATACGGTCGACCGTGTCAGCACGCCTGCGGTCGTATCGGCTCATCCAGAAAGAGGTTCTGCGTCATTGCAAGGAAATTTGTGGGATCAGTCTCGCGGACCCTACTGACGCGGTGCGTGTTCACTCTGTCCAGCCGCTTTTCGTGGCGGGGCAAGCCTTTTATACGCGACCAGAACAGGAATTGGTTCTGGGGCTACTTTCTGGTATCGAGACGGAGCTGGGGTGGGCTACGAATCATCAGAGGCGGAAGTTGATTGATGAGTGGAAGGTGAACGATGAATGAGTCTGGATCGATAATGACAAACTACAAGTATGAACATGACGATGCTCTCTCCTCAATGTGCTTCGATAACCCAAGTGGCACTATGTTCAGCTCGGATGGACAATTTGGCTTCGCAAGGTGGACCGTATACTAATCAACGGCTAAAATCTCAAGACACGAGCATGGCTTGGCACTGCTCTAATAAGACAAGCGCCCGGTACATACCACCTCAAGAGGGGAAGGACATCGTCAGAATCCACCAAGGATAGGTGAGAACCACAGATCTGAGACTAAATCGCTGGAGAAATTTCAGCAGCAAGTGAATGCTGTCGTTGAGTCACGAAACAATTGCTGCTTCCTCGCAGCCTCATACACATGCCCGCAGGTTCCACGGAGTCCAAGATGGCAGGCTGCTAGATTTCATACGTTCTGCACAAGCTTGTCAAGCCTGGGTTCTCTAATATTTACCACTTGTCTGTGAATACTGTAGTAAGTCTGGGCCTGTGGCCAACTTGAAGGCCAGCAATATCAAATCACTTGTTGGCAATAGCTCCAATTTTGAAGACATTGCTATAGTATCTAAATCCTGCGGTGCCGGTGTTACCCAGGTCTGCCAGGAGTATAAGGGTGCTGAAAAGGGCCAGGAGAGTTCCGAGGCACCACGACTGTAAATTGCAGGGGCCAAGCGAGCCTGTATATTTGTCAGGCGATGGAGAGGTGTCCAAGAAAGCTGATGTCCCATCTGCCTTACTGCCATCACTACTCATCGTCAGTCCTCGATACAGAACCCCCCCCCCCCCTCCCTTCCCTCAAATCATGCGAAAGGTCAATTTGAGCGATGTGTTGGTACGAGTGGCAAGTGACCCAGCAAACTAGGGCAATTGTCCGAAAGGCTCCGCTGCCCACTTCAAGCTTTCAACTTGCCTTAGGTGCAGTATGGCAAACGTCTCTTCCCCAACCTTTTCTTTACTTTGTGTTCCTGTGACATAGAGTCAGCTGTTCGACATCGTCGGTCTTCATCCTGCCCGTTAGGTAGAACACCTACAGGTAACCAGTATTGATCATCGCTTAATCAGCGATCATATAAAAAACCGTGTTACTGTATTTCCCGTCTGAATGCAGCAAGCCTAGGGCTGTTGACTGCATATTCCAATTTTCCATACGCTACCCTAAGTGCCGATACGAGTCAGTCCATGCAGGTAATTACAGTAGGTTCTCGTTCAAATTCCAAGTGATCGGAATTCGGACGAAGACCTGGAACATTATCTTGTCAATTGGTACTCGAGGTGCTGCCACCAGTGGTGGCATTCCAGCAGGATCGCGGCCCTCATTTTGTGGAATCCTTTTAAATCTATATTCCTCCCTCTTATGCACGAGTCGCAAATATCTGGTTCATTTTTTAGCCAGGGTATGCTGGATTGCCTTAATCAGTACATTTACAAATGAGTTGCTTTTGTATAATGGATGTTGGGGATGGTGTTGTTCGCGGGGAAATGCGGAGAAGCCGACGCAGATTCGAGGATCTGAATTCTTCCGCCGGCCTTCTAGATGGAGACCTGCGCAATTCGGATAGATCTACGACGAGCCGAGAGCTGAGCCTGTCGATCTTGAAGACTTGCTAAGCGGCTGTACCTAGGAAAGTCACGCATACAAGAGCGACTTGTTTCGCACTTTTCCCAAATATGGTTTCGAGAAAACATAAGACTATCAGTAGAATCATCGAAGAGTGACACATTACTGAAGTATGAGAGCTCTTTTAGGCACTCTTTTGCTTGGCTGTTTCTCCACTCTCTTGGTAGGAGTTGTTGGATGTCAAACGGACGACGACTGCAGTCTCAATGGCATTTGCGATCAAAACTCCTCCTGTGTCTGTGACAAGGGATGGCGTTCTGCCGACTGCAGCGAGCTGGATTTGCAGCCAGTTGAGCGTTGGACCGGGTACAACCGCACGAACGCGACAGGACCGGATTTCTACAAGGAGGGCGCCGGCAACTCTTCCTGGGGAGGCCACATCATTCAAGATCGGGCAGACAAGGGCCTCTTCCATCTCATTACGTCGCAAATGTCACACGGCTGTGGTCTCTCTGGTTGGCGGCCTTTCAGCACCATTATCAGAGCCGAGTCTCGCACGGGGCCGAGAGGCCCTTATAACTACGCCCAAACGTTGTTCAGCACTTTTCATCACAACCCCACGACTATTTGGAGCCCCGCGGATGAAAGATTCTTGATTTACTTCATCGGCAAGGACGTCGAAGTTGGTGACGTTTGTAAATCCCAGAAATGGAACAACACGATCTCGGTTTCCTCGTCGCCGGATCTCAGAGAATGGACGACGCCCATCCCGCAGGTTATTAACGTCACGAACCCTGCACCGTGGCCGCTGTGGACCGATGAGAATCCCACGCACGAAATCCTACTCGCCGTAGAGAAGAACAACATTTATCACGCGGACAACTTCTCTGCACCCCACGAACTTGTTGTCGAACCGCGAAACACGGAGCGAAGTGAAGATCCATTCCTTTGGAGAGACAAAAGAGGCCACTGGCACATCCTAGTCCACCACATGATCGATATTGCTGAAGGGAGAAAAGGGCCACGTGTTGGAGCGCATGCTTATGCTCGTAACTGGGAGGGCCCTTGGACTTACAACAACAATACCTTGACGTACAACACAACTGTTGAGTTTACCGATGGTGTCAAATTGGACTACTATCGCAGGGAGAGACCAAAGTTGTTTTTTAGTAATGACGGGCAGATGACTCCGCTTTACCTGCTCAACGGAGTGCAGGAGTTCAACAAATCGGGAAGCTACACCTTGATCCAACCGATTGGCAAGGAAGCAAAAGTTTTTGAAACGAGCCTTGGATTGGATTGATGTCGCGTAGAGGAATACACTTCTGCTCAATACGTACTTCTTGCTAGTCGTGGTTTGTTGCAGGAGATCAATCCAAATTGTTTGAGTGACTTGTACAAGTCTCGGGGAAATTGGGAATGCTGGAGTTCGCCATCTCGAGTAGTGAAGAAGTGGTCCCCGTGGCTTTTGCGGCTCTGAAAACAAGGCGGCGCGTCAATGCTTTGATGTCATGACTAGCGACAAAGATAGACAGCTTTAACCTTCTGGAGAACCACGCGAGAACCACGATGGTCAGGCGGATGGAGCCTTCTTGGCACGGACAACTCGGATCTCGTTGTGCTCCCAAATCAAGGAGACCACGGGATACCTGGCAGCTACCCAGTCACAGATTGAAATTTGTGGACTGAATCGCACCAAAAGGTAGTGGAGGCTGGGTTATCAATCATGGACACGGGGAAGAGTGCAACCTGAGACTGACTCGGTCAACACCAAGGGGCCCACACGGAAAGCCGCAGCTAAATGAAGGTTCTCAGCCCGTCAGCCTGGGCATCGCTAATTCTGGACATTGGCCTCCTTCAATCAGCATATCAGAGTTTAGTTATAGGGCTTGGTGTGGCAAGCAATATGCCCTGCGGAAGACACAGGTAACCAGCCTCGGTTCCGGTTTGGCGGCTTTGAAGGCCAGATCACCTCAACCCCATTTGCCTGATGTAAAATGGTAGCATTTACTGATCTTCTGATAGCACTAATGGTTCGTCTCATTTGTCATGACCCCTGCTTTCTGTAGTCTCCGGACCCGATCAGGTTTCCGAAGGCCGCGCGCGTACTGCGGACCAGCGGTCAGGATTAACTCATGCGATTCTTCAATCCACTGGAAATTGGATCTGGCCCAGCCGGAGTTTGACACTTCCTAGGATCGACTTGGTTTCAAAAGCCGCCATTCCCCCTGTTCTTATTGTTGATGTTTGCGCCAAGTTCCATCAACTTCATTTCGCCATAGATCCTAGACGGCAAACAGGGAAGCAGGCCTTCATTGTCAGCATTCACTTCAACTTGTTCATTCGTTACTGGTATAATGACCTTTCATTCAGGCTTGGGGAGATGTCAACTAACAACAAGCCGTAGTCATTCATTCCAACATGCGTTCTACCGCCTTCCTTCCTTTTCTCGGTCTCGTGAGCAGTGCCTTTGCTGCTCCCGTTGCCACCAATCTAGACCCTCGCGGAGAAGTTGGCCACGACGCTCTTAGCCCTCTCGCCCAGAAGGTTCAGGATAACGATATTGGCAAAGCCATCGCACGGTTCAACCCGCTTCTTCACATCGCTCATGGTTGCCAACCGTACACGGCTGTTGACGATGCCGGAGACACAAGGTACGTGTACAACAAGAGCTCTGCAATGACACAATGCTGATGATCAAGTAAGTGGCGGCCTGAAGCCAAGCGGCAGCTCCAGCGGAGGCTGCAAGGACACCAGCAAGGGTCAGACCTACGCCAGAGGCACATGGCACAACGACAAGTACGCCATCATGTACGCTTGGTACTTCCCCAAAGACATGCCGAACGACGGCGTCTCCACCGGCTCGCATAGACACGACTGGGAAAGCGTGGTGGTCTGGCTCAACAACCCCTCCGTTGCGGACCCAACGATCCTAGGTGGTGCAGCTTCGGGTCACGGCGACTACAAAAAGTCGACTAGCCCGCAAAGAGAGGGTGATGGTGTGAAGGTGGAATACTTTACACAGCTCTTACTGAACCATGAGCTTCAGTTTACTGATACCACCGGCAAGACGTACCCTGTTCTTGACTGGGACGCTATGTCGATGAACATGCAAACTGCTCTCAACAACACCGACTTTGGCAGTGCCAATGTGCCTTTCAAGGATGAGAACTTTACCGAGAACCTCGACAAGGCTTCTATCTAGGGGATGAGGTTGACTTCAGTCAAGTTTGCAGCTTAAATGGAGGCTAAATATCTGCATGCACGCTTTTATCCCGATTCTTAGGTCCATATTCAGTCTCAAGATGTAAATAGTTCGATCAGCAATGGCAAGCAACGAGACAAGGGTAGCAGCACCATATACAACAGCGCATAGTGTTAAGCAATAAAAGCGATCTCCCTCATATTCTGAATGCCTACAGTCCAGCAATGCTTGACTTTACCTGCTT